AGCGGGCACTGAGCGCGGGTTGGGGGCAGGTAGGGGGGCGGTCGCCGCCGCCGCCGCTGCAAAACGCGTGCGGTTCCGGGGGATGAAGGAATTCTGCGTGTTCGTTAAGTATTTTTACGTGAGTTTAAGGGTCCTGGGAGATTTGTTTAGAAGACGGAAAATCGAGCGTTCCACATAAAACTTGCATGTAGGGCTGCCCCAGGAGCGCGTTTCCTGACACGAACAGGACAACCCAGAACGGAGGGGGCCGATCAGCTGCTCGCGTTAAATTAAGAGCAGAGACACCCACCAGCCGATCGGCTGCGAAACTGGGCTCTGGCCAATGTGCGCGCAAGAAAAACAGGATGAGGAGCACCCATGAAACGCGCAGTGGCTCTTCCCGTGCTGCTGCGCCTTCAAATGTTATTATTCCTTCATTTCCAGTATCTTCCCCAAGCATCTCATCAGGGCCGGGCTTGCATACCCTTTGAGGAGGCTGCAGGTACCGGTGCTGCAGGCCGGGGCTGCCTGACAGCGGCGGCGCGGCCGGAGGCCACGTTGATGGACAGCCAGACTGAGCCCAGCACCCCGGGCGCTGACAGCTCCGCATGGACCAGCTGCAGTAAGAACACGGTGCCCGTGGCCGGCAAGCGGGCGCGCGCTGGCGGGTGGGAGAGTGGTTCGCAGCACCTTTGGGGGCTGATGATGTTACTGCCTTTTTTTTCTTTTTCTTTTCTTTTTTTTTTAATAAAATAATCACATTGGGAGGAAATGCACGGTGTTTGTTTGCTGCATCTCTAGGACATGGTGATGTTTGCATTTGATACGCTGTGCCTCGTGAACCCAAAACACTGGAGTCCTTTGAAGATTATGTAAAAGTACAGGTGCAGATACTCCTCAAAGAGAGTAATAATGGGACCAGGCATTCAAGAATATCCTTTATTACTGCACAGAGAGACACAGAAAAAGGGAAGCCAAATCAATGAAACCCACAAAGGAATGGTAAAGTAAGGAAATTATTTTCTCTCTTTATAGCTAGAGGTATCTCGAAGTACTGTAGATTCATTAATAAATGCATGACTGTGCACTGCTCAGATTGCCCTCGTCTCTGATCCACAGCAACACAAGCGTCTGTGCTGGGTGGTCTTGCGCGTTGCAGCAATACAACTGCGTCCGTGCTGGAGGCATAGGATTTGTTTTCATTATTTTACAAGCTATTAAAGTGATGATATATTTTTAAAAAAACAAAATCATACTACACTGACACAAGAACTATGCAGAATATGTACTGCCTGGCAGCATGAATTGCACTGAACTCAATCTAAAGTAGCCTGGGA